TTGTTGTATTTATCCGCGACACCTTAAAGGCCGGTCCGTGAAAATATTGTCGGGCATAAACCGGTCCGTGGCGCAAAAAAGGTTGGAGACCGCTGTCTTAGAGCTTGAGCTCAAGTAATTAGTGATGTGGGTGTTTATCGTTTTCATTATGACTGAATTTCATAGTTTGAAGACGTGGATCTGTACAGTTCTGTTGAGGGGGTATAAGGACGTTTTCGGTCCTTTGGCCAATAAGAAACTTCATTTATGTTAAACTTACTATAAATGTGTCATATGGTCATTGTGTGAATAATGTCCTCTCCTCTAACATAGTCAACCCAGTGTGAGTTACATGTGGGCGGATCTACAGGAGGCTCTTCAGCCTGCTGATATAATAAATAGTTTTAAAGTGTTTTGTGGATATTTTGTTGGCTCCATTTACATATGGGTGATTTTCACGTACTTTACCAAAGATGTATATGCCACCCTGCCCCGCCCTGTAAGACTTTCTCGATCACTGTGTGACCGAAGGAGCTGCAGTCCTTTGAAGCAAAAGTCAGGGCATAAAAACTCCTCACAGTAAGCGCGGGAGATTTCTTCCTGTATTGTCACGTGGTTTACGGTGTCGTAGCGACCATCGTGCGGTATCAACAAAGGCTATCGTTGTCAGAGGGATTTATACCGGTTACTTGTTACAATATGGAAGAAACCCAACAGCGTTCAAACAGGTAACCTTTCTCCACACGTGACGAGAAAGGCTCGGGTTTCCCCCGAGGAGCAGCGGAGTAGTAAACGAGAACGTCCGCGCGTGGTGTGCTGTTACGTTTTAGTATATGTTCCACCCTGAGCCAAAGTCTTTCATTTATCAGTCTGTCACCGTGTTGTTCACATTTATTTTTAATGCTTGGAGGTCGTAAAACTGTCCCACTGGGCTGTTAGTGACGTTTATGGCGCGTTCCTGCATCGCCGGAAGTTCCCCGTTGGAGAGATTTTGTGGAATGCAAAAAAAATGCAAAAAAGTCGGAACATACCCTGAGTTAACGATCCAACAGTGAAAGCGTGAACCTTTAATCTGCACTGCTGTGGATTTTGACTCACCGTGTGCAGAGGCGCTATTCGTGATAAGGGTTTTTGAAGCGCAAAGTATTTGCTGCATTCCCATTGATGCCTGCACGGCTCGACCTTGACCAAATTAAATCCTGTTTTTTCTACATTTTTTCTCTCAAACTCGATAATTGGGAGTGACGTCAGTCCCAAATACACTTCCTGTACTCCAGGTTATCTGTTTAGTCTCGCTTGGAGTGGAGTTTTTCGAGATCGACACATGTTTTGGTCCTTGTTGCAACAGCAGACCCAGTTTTGCTGTTGACTGCTTAAAGTTTTCATTCATCATCTTCCCATCATCCTTCTGTCTTCTTCTTCCACCTTGATGAGTTCCCCTTTCCAGACACTAGGAAGCATCTCCCACAGCTCTGCTCTTTCACTGCTGGGACAGTTTTCTTTGGGTTGCACATCTGGCCCTTCTTTCTCCAAACATGAGCCCTGTGGCTCTCAGTAGTTTGTGTTATCGTTTGTGACTCAGTACGCATGAGTCATTTTGGGGGAAATATTATTTTTATTATTCATAACGTTAATTAAAAAAAATAATGTGCAATACTAAATAGTAATACAATTCGGATTCATCTTTTAATATAATTAAAAACTCTCAGTGTTGTCATTATCTGTTGGACACTAACGCCCCTACCAGCCCTGTAAACTGCTGCAGAGGGCAGAGCAACATCCCAGTGACAGACACACCAGGCGCTGTGTCCACTCTTTCCAAACTGACAGCTTTGCTGATTTTGGGGCAGGAGGAGGACCTACAGAGTGTCAGTGACATGGTTTTAATGTTGTGACTAATTGGTGTGTGTCTGAATAGTATCAGTCTTGTTACGAGTGCTGATACTGAAAACATTATGTTCAAGCTTTCACTAAAGGTTGTGCACATTGAGCTTCTACTCAGGAGACTCTGTGGTGTTTATATGTAAATGATTGTTTTGGCAGCTCATCAATTAATACATATGAACGTACACATCAGATAACACAAACTGAATCGTAGCATTGATGGTGAGTTAGCAGAGTGACGACTCACAAAGCTGTGAAGTCCCAGTTTTTGTTTTCTCTCACATAACTTCATAAATCT